ACTTGCAGTCCATAATATTAGTTGTTTAACATTTTCTCTGTCATTATCATTTTTAATCACATGTCAAGTAAGCACCACTTTTACTGTATTATTTTTAAAACATTACTAGAGATCTGAAAAGAATATTGTATATTTTTCTTTTCTTTTTAACTGAGAATATTGCATATTTATATTATTATATATATAATTTTTTTTTAATAAATTTTGGAAATTCCGAACTTTTAACTCATAATCTCTTCGATTAAAATTAGCTTTTAGATATTATAATTTAAAAAACAACTTTCTGCTCCATAAAATATTTGAATTCGAGATACAAAAGAATCAAACCTTTGTGTTACCAGTAGATCATCATACCGTTTATTTATGTATATAGTTTGCGAAACATTAAATTAGAGAATTAAGAATTAACATAGATGACTAATGGAATTATGGAAAAGTCAACTAATTTCACAACATTTTCCACTTAACAAAAATATATTTGTAACTATTGAATATTGATCAATCATTGTTGCATGCATCTGCTCATCTGTACTGGTTATTTTCCGAATATCATATAGGTACGATAAAGATATAATTTTAGGAGATAATTGTCATAGTTGATTTCGTGGAATCTAAAATTTCGTGGAATTCAATCTAAAACAAAGCAGCCACAAATGAACACAACAGTCAATTTCTGTCTCTTACGTTTTTAATTATGCTTGGCAAACAATTGTACATCATTTTTCCTTTTTAAAATTTATTTTGTTTTCTCAAAAACAAAAAACAATTGTACATCATTTATTATTCTATTGGCTATCTAAAGTAATTAAAAAAATAAATTATTCATTAAACCAATTCAATTATTTATCAATAATTTAAAATTTTGAAAAGGTATTTTGAGTTACAAGACATATATAGTCATACTTTATCCTTTCACACAAATAATATATTTATTTTTTAAAAATAAAAATTATAATTTGGCGACAGTAAAATACTTAAATCATAGTTACATCTACCGAAAAGTATAATTCTGAATTTTACGGTTATAGTAGAATAAGTTACCCAGTAAACATGCATTGTAGAGTTAGATAGTAAAACTTGTATAGTTGATTAACAAAATTGACTTAAATCTAGAATATTAAAAAGAAATTAAGCCTCAAAACTGTTAAATAACAATCACCTTATCAAATGTAGCTTTCAGAATAATTGTTGGCCCACCTTTCTTTTCAACTTATCAGTTATTAACTTGTTAACAATCAAACTTTATTCTGTTTATACTTCCCAATTATTAGAAGGAGACTACTGTACATAAAAAGAAGAACTCATAAG